TGCCTGGTCACCCCTTACTGCTCCCCTGCCAGACTGGTTGCCCCAAACTGCCCCCAACACCGCTGGCCTGGGTCGCCTTAACTGCCCCCCCCCCCCGCCCCCCGCTGGCCTGGTTGCCCCACGCAGCCCGCTGTTCAGTCGTTTGGTCGTCCCTCACTAACCCCCCTGCTGGCCTGGTTGCCCCACACAGCCTGCTGTTCAGTTGTCCACCCGGTTGTTTCGGTCGTGACGGCCCCTGGCTTTTTATATATTAGGAGGATGCTACATAGGCCCTGGCCCAGAAACTGAGTTAGTTAGATTTTCATCCCGATAGGCCAAGGTCGGTGGTTTGCTCCCCAGTCAGAGCACATACAAAAATCAACCAATGAATACATGAATAAGTGGAACAACAAATCGATATTTCTCTCTCTCTAAATTTAATTTTAAAAAGGACTATACTACATAAGTTATATTTATGCTGAAGATATCAATACTTGTTCCATCTCTACACTTACGAATATTTTATAATATCACAATGATGACAAATATTGTACTTGGTCTCTAAGAAATGTACATCTTCCAAGGGAAGTATATATTAAGCAAATATGATTATCCCCTGTTACATATGGAAAAACTGATGGAAACTATCAATTATCTGCCCTATTTATCCAACTCTTGATTCTCTACTCTAATAGCATCTTCTGGAAATAATTATTCTCATTTCACAACTCCCATTTCTACTATTTAAAATAAGTCCCCTCAGCTTTTTTGAATAGTATACACAAGACTGTCCTTAACAAATATGGAATAGATGAGAAAAAAAAATTAATACCCTAAATGAAGCAATGAAATGTTAAACTGTTTTCTGCTTTTCTTCTTTGAGTGGCAGAGAAGAAATATTAAAGTTTACTTCAAACTCCCTATACCAGTTAGTCAATTTGAAAACAAAAACTGCTAAAAGTACATCTTTCTTTTTGTCAAAGAGTTGTTTCCATTGACCAATATGTGAAAGCAGCTGGCAACAAAGATGAAATCCAAACATTTCAGAAAAATATGCCTTGCCTGTTTTATTCCTATACCTTTGAAAATTAAAAATCCCAAAGGTCTCTGAAATTAGCCAAAAGTCAACTAAAAAGTAGCTACTTAAAGTAGGACCTGTTGAAAAAACAAAAATCATCTAACTGGCAGACCACCTGTAAATTTCACTCATAATCACTTTCTGAAGTCCATTTCAAATGTCACTTCCTCTCTGTAGCTTTCCCTGAAGACTCCAATCCACAGATGTTTCCTCCTTTCTGTTTAAGGCACTTTGGACATACATCTTCAATAACATCAGATTTCGATAATCTGTTCATAAACTATGCCCTTTACTTTGAGGTTCCTAGAAGACAGAGATATACTTTTTGTCTCTGAGGCACTAGGAATACAGTACACAATTGCTGTTAAATTTAAATACCACATACTAACTTTTAAAGGCTGGTTACTAAAATATTTAGTGGAAAAAAAACAGTGTGCTTGTGAGACTAGCTTTTCCTTCCACTTGGAAGCACTATATTCTTTCAGTCAGACACTCAGAGTGAAAGCTTCTTGCATTACAGAGTATGAGAGTTAGTTTCAAGCGCTAATATTGACTTGAGTAAACCTTAAAGATCCTTAGACATTTTCAGAGATCCAAATTTTTAAATAGAAACTGTAAAATGCTATGAAAAAATTAACAGCTTCTTTAATGCCCTACAATAAGCCCAATATTAACAGCTACTGTAAAGCCTGCAGTAATAAAATAAACACCAGATTAAAAAAATCAAACGTAGTAAATAAACCTATTTATTGATTGTAAAAGTTTGCCAAACGATTATTTGAATTGTTAAAATTAATGGTTTCAAAGAGATCCTGAAACCCAAAACGATGTTTTACCAACCTAAAATAAATGTGTATGTATATCATTATGCCCTATGCCAAATAATCTAAAAGTTTACTTTTTCTTTTTTTTTTTTAAATATATTTTATTGATTTTTTACAGAGAGGAAGGGAGAAAGATAGAGAGTTAGAAACATCGATGAGAGAGAAACATCGACCAGCTGCCTCCTGCACATCTCCCACTGGGGATGTGCCCGAAACCCAGGTACATGCCCTTGACCGGAATCGAACCTGGGACCTTTCAGTCCGCAGGCCGACGCTCTATCCACTGAGCCAAACCGGTTTCGGCAAGTTTACTTTTTCTTATGTCTCTTTTGCTAGCAGTTAAACTGAAAACCTTGAGTGTGAAGGTCTTACAGTGGTTCTCAACCTTCCTAATGCCGCGACCCTTTAATACAGTTCTTCATGTTGTGGTGACCCCCAATTTCATTGTTACAAATTGAACATAATTAAAGCATAGTGACAATATGTAAAGCACAAAAACAATATGTAATTATATATGTGTTTTTCCGATGGTCTTAGGTGACCCCTGTGAAAGGGTCGTTCGACCCCCAAAGGGGTCGCGACCCACAGGTTGAGAACCGCTGTAAGATCAACGTTTTCAAGACTTGCTCTAGGAAGAAACACCAGTTTCTCCTGCCGTCTGCTCTTTTTAAGTGTTTAAAACAATCTCAGCGAAACTAAATAGTGGAATTATGTATATTAATCTTTTTTTTTTACACTGAAAAGGTAGAAATGAACTGTTCCAACCATTACAAGCAACTCTTCATTGCATGCAGTTTACGCGGTTCAAGGTATTCGATTCCATAACTAAGGAACCAACTGTTCATCGGGAAGTTAAATTATCAAAGTCCTAGGAAGACCAAGCTCTCATGACCAACCAAGAGTTCCAGTGAAGGAGAAGGAAACAGGAAGCAACGAAATAAAAAGTGACGGGAAGCCCTGGTGGGATGAAGCACTCGCTCGGAGTGCGTGGCACCGTGCGGTGAGCGGCCACCTTCACTCGGGGACGCTCGCTGCTGACATGCACGCGTCCGATTCCAGGAAAACGGAAGCCAGCGGCCGGTGCGACCTGGCCCGCCGGACGGGAGGCCAGCCTGCGGCCGAGTCCTCCAGCCTCTCACGCCGTGCAGGGCCATGCCGGCGCCTCCAACCCGCAGCGGACCGCGTCCGGCGCTGCAGGAGACGCCCGACCCCACCCACGGCTACGCCCCCTTTCCCTCGGACCCCAGCCTCCCAGGCGGAGGGCGGCTTCCCCGGGCCGACACGGCACCCCGAGGTCCACCGGGCCTCACCCACCTTGCACTCGTCACTCTTTTTATCTTCTTCGCAGAAGTTGACCGGCGCCAGGCCCGGCAAGTAGAAAGCGGCGCCCCGACGCGGGCCGGGGGCCGCCCCCAGCAGGAGCAGCCACAACAGCCACAGCCGCGGCCGCCGAGGTGGCGACGCCGCCGTCCGCCTCGCGCTCATGTTTCGGGAAAAGGGCAACGCGCCGAAGGGGTGAAGAGGAAATGAGGGACGGGGAGGCTCGGAGACTGTGCCAAAGCCGCCCGAGCAGAGGGAGGCCGGCCCGCGACGGACAGTTCCGGTTACGCTAGGAGACACCGCGGATCCCGCAACAGAAACCGAACCGGACCTCGACGGAGCATGCGCAGCGCCGCCCGCACATGCTCAGTGAGAGCCGCCGCCAGCCCACGGGAGAGTTTCCGGGACGAAATCCACTTTCCGGGTTTTCAGCGGGGCCCGCCGGGTCGTTGCCGGGCGAGAAGTTCCGGCGCTCACGGTCCCGTTCCACATTCCGGTCTGGAGCTCCCCGGGGCCCCGTGGAGCTGCCCGGCTTGCAGGGCGCCCCTGGCTTGCTGCTTTGCCTCCTTTGAACATCCTGACATGTTCTCACCGCGCTGCCCGCAGCACAGAGTCGGTGCTAATGAGAGTCCTTGCTCACGGAGGCGGGGAGAAGGTCGGGGAACACCTGGTTAGGAGCAGGAGCAGGAAACAAATAAGGAAGAAGTAGCCATAAACCCTCGCTCCCATAGCTCGCTCGCTGCTCAGGTGTCAGCGCGGACGGGCGCCAAGCCAGGGACCCGTTGGCGCGTTCCCGTGTGGGACAGCGGCTGCGCGGAACAGACAAGACCCCGTTGTCTTTGGAGGGAGTGCTGAGAGTGGGGAGAAAACCGGGCGTCGGCAACAGAAGCAGCTGGTGCGGACACTTTGCAAAGGAAGGCCTGGCAGAGCTCAGTGTAGAAAGTAGTCCCCGCGAAATAGAAATGCGCTCTGATGATCCCTGAGGAAGTTTCTGCCTCTCTTCCTAGTAAAATGACGTGATGTCCGGGTTTCTGTGTGTGTATGTGGTGCATTTTCTGAGTATTTTTCAAGGATAAATGTGCTTTTGGTGACATGAAGCCAATTCAGTTAAGCCTCAATTCAATGGAATACGTCGGAAGAGCGCGTCGACTTAACCACTGCAAAGTGAGGAGTCAGCCCGACTGCCTCCAGCTCGGAATTCACGAATGGGGTAACCTGCCAAATGCACAATTCTGAAAAGTGCGGAGCCCCGTGCAGTTCTCTCTAAACTGTGATGGGTGTTGGCGCATCCCCTCCCCCCTGGAGAGTTGCTAACGTTCATTAAATGTTCAAAGGGATTTATGACCCTGCAAAAAAGGTTAAGAACCAGAACAAAGATAAAATTCTTTCTTGTAAAGGTAGTTTGTGCGCTGAGAGCTCCGGCTTTGGAACGTTAGTATCTAGTCATATGACCTTCAGCAAGTTAATTGATCAAGTCCCAAGTAGTAGAGAGAACTAAGAAGCAGAGGGGGAAAAAAGTCCATCTTCTTAAAGTCCTTGTGAAAATTAGATGAAAAAAATATGTGGGCTAATCACGTTCTGAACACATTGCTAGGCACAAAGGAATAGCAAACATTTTTTAAAAATATATTTTATTGATTTTTTACAGAGAGGAAGGGAGAGGGATAGAGAGTTAGAAACATCAATGAGAGAGAAACATCATCAGCTGCTTCCTGCACACCCCCTCCTGGAGATGTGCTTGCAACCAAGGTACATGCCCTTGACCTGAATCAAACCTGGGACCCTTGAGTCACAGGCCGATGCTCTATCCACTGAGCCAAACCAGTTAGGGCAATAGCAAACATTGTTACAAAAGCCAATATAGCAATGGGATTGTCACTTCCCCATCTCTCTCTCTCTCACACTTGAGCAAATTAACATATTGGTTGAATATCTACTTGGGCTAAGGGAAAGAATTTATAATATTCTGTATTTGATGCCATGAAGATTTCCAGAATAAGAGGAAGAGGGTGTTCTCTTCATTTAGAAAGGGGAAGAAAACTAACATTTTGGTTCACTATCATCGATTCATTCAGTACCATTAGTTCACTATCTCACTGCCCTCACTCACCCCAACCTGCTCCTCCCCATTTCTCCCATCTCAGAAAATGGCCCCCAACCTGGAAGATAACCTAAATTTCTGATTCTCTCACTCTCTACATACAGCCCTTCAGTGAGTGAGTTATATTCCTTGAATCGCTAAACTAAACTAAATCCTTTCCAGCTACACCCCAGTCCAAGTCCAAATCTTAGTTGACCTGGACTACTTACTGCAATAGCTCCTCGGCTTCCACTCTTACCAAGAGCGACCTTAAAAAACAATCTTTAAATCCCTCGGCAAAGGGAAAATTCCTAGATGTCCAAAATTGAATTACAGGTGTCTGCAGGGTTGGAAGAGACCAGAGAGGTTAATCAGTTAAAAACTACAGGCAGAACCCAACAAACGACGGGTAGGTAACATTCCTGAATGTATGTTGAAACGTTGAATGAACTTCCAGGTGGCTATTTCCACAATTACCGGGAAACAGCCCACACCCAGGGGCCACGGCACCTTGCAGACTGTTGCCCACAACCAACCCCAAAGAGCAAACACTTCTTACGACCTGTCCCAGAACCAGCCCCACTTCACATCCTCCCACTCCCTTCATCCTCCCACACCCTTCCTCCTCCCACACCCTTCATCCTCCCACACCCTTCATCCTCCCACACCCTTCAACCATAACCGATGCAAATCCCTTCACAACAACTTACACCTTTCTTTCCCAGCCCCAGAACAGCAGACGTATTTGTTTTCTCCATCTAGCACGGCTGCTGGGGGTTTAGCGTGCATGCCCCAGGCCCTGGTCCTTTATCTGGCTAGCGTGTTGCTCAATGCACCCTTTCTTCCAGAAAAGCTTTCCGTGGCAAAAGTTTTTAATACCCTCAGTACCACTCTTCTGCTTGATCCCTGGCACCCCACACCCCGTACCCCTGCTTGGAATTAGTGTGGTTATTTATTGTCTCACTGCCCCAGATGTATGTAAGCTCCATGAAGCCAGGACCTCATCTCTCCATCCTGTATCGCTGCATCCCCAGAACCTGGAGCGAGTAACGGGACAGCACTGCAGGACCGGGACTGGCCAGACCACAGACATTCCAGGTCAGAATTTAGAACCACAGGCTTTCCAGACAAGGTTAATCTCTCCTCCTTTTACAGAGGGAAGGCAAGTGACGGTTCGCAGCCCCTCGGCTGTTCAAGGAGGCCCCAGCCCGCAGCGGCCTGGGAGTCCGAAGGCGTCCTCAAACCTCCTTCCCTCCAAACCCCACCGCCGCCTCAATCTTCCGAGCTCAGCACTAGCAAAAACCCGGAGAAGTGGAGTCTTCCTAAACAGACACGGTTTCCGGACACATTCTGGGCCTAGTAGTGCGCCGATCGCGCATGCGCAAGGCTGGCCCGTCCCTCCCGCGACCTCTTCCTGGCTTCCGCCTCCAGAGTTCAGACACGTCACCCGTGCGGCCGGCCTGGTGGGCGGGGCGAGGCGGGGGACGGGGTGGGACCGCGGGGGCGGAGCGGACCCCTGATTTCCGGACCCGGCCTTTCCAGGGCGAAGCCTACTCCGGCATTTCCTCGGGTTACCTGGCGCCGGCGTCGGAGCGGAACCCCAGGCGTGGCGTGGGGAGGTCGCTCCGAGCCGCCTCCGGGGCACAGAACACAATCCCTTTGCCTTGTAGGTGCGTCCGCCTGGGCGCCGTCAAGTAGAAGGGCTGGGTAGGGACTCCGGTTGCAAACTAGTATAAATGAAGTTTTCCTTCATCCTCCTTGAGACTGATGCTCCCTTTCTAAAAGTACTAATGCTTCTGATTCCATTTTAAAACTCGAGGGATAGGATTTTTTCCCCCCTTTCCTCTGTCTGCTACAGATAACATTTGCCTATTTAAGACTCTTACTAATTTGGTGTTTCTTCCACTCCTCTTTGCCAAAGTAATTTGCACAGCCTGTTTTTCTGCGTTACCCACAGCTTCTTTGTATTTATTCGCAAATAAAAATTCAGGATGCGCAGTTAAATTTTAATCTCAGGTTAACAGTGAATAATTCTTTAGTATCTGTATGTCCCAAATACTCCATGAGCCATGCGCGTATTTTACCTGGCAACCCACTTCTGTGTCCAGTTGCACAGAAGGGCAGCTATACTGTTAGTTTTATGCCCTGTAAATGAACGGGCTTTCAAGATTTTCTAGAAGATAAAAATCACCTCATTGATCTTCAATTTCTGATATAAAATTGTGATAATCCAAAGGACATAAAGTGAGTCAGCTGTCCATAGCCCCCTTCTCACTGCAACTTGCAAATAAAACTGGCCCTGAATAACTGGCTCTAAATGCAAGTCATGGTAGTTTAGAGCCAAGGTATGAGAGATCTTCATAAGTTTTAAGATAAAAGAATGTTTCCCAGGACAACAAGATTTAATTTATAAGTAAAGTAAAACCAGAAGAGGGATTTATTCATGCAGCAGAACCTGGAAAAATGGAGCCACAGAGGCAAACACCAACGTGTTACTCAGAGGAGACAATGGCCTGGCCCAAAGACTCCAGCATGGTTGGTGTAACTCTGAGGTAGATGGACGTATTCTAATCATACACAAACATACCTTGGAGATATTGAGGTTTTGGTTCCAGACCACCAGGATAAGGTGAGTATTGCAATACAGCAAGTTGTAATCTTTTTGCTGGTGAAGGGTCTTGCTTTCAATTTGTAAAAAATGCAACACCTGTGACGCACAATGAAGCTAAGTGCAATAAAACAAATTATGCCTGTAGCTAATTCGGGTTGCTCTGAATTTATGCCCCTCAACCAGTTTTCTGTTTACAGTGTAGCTTGCCATGTGGTTTGCTGACACAGAATGTTTGCTGGATTCACGCAGCTGGTCTCTAGGATTATTGTTTTAACGACTTTATTGAGCTATCATTTATATGCCATGCACTTTACTCACTTTAAGTATAAAATGCAGTGGTTTTTATCAAGTTTACTGAGTGACAATGCCATTGTCATAATACAGGTTTAGAGTATCACCTCTATATGATGATCTGTAATGTTTAATCCCCTTTCTATACACAACTCCAGGCAACCACTAATGTACTTTCTGTCTCTCTTAATTTGCCTTTTCTGACAATTCGGGGTTTATTTTTAAAAATAAATTAATAATTTTATTCATCCATCAGTGTCCGTGTCTGTGGCTAATGTAAATTTACCCTAGATAAAGGTCATCTTCTCATTTTCTCTGTACTGACAAGTAAGTTGTCTCAGGCTGCTAGATTGTCCTGGTTTCTCCAATGTCAATGCCCTCTAACCAGAGACCACCAGGAATACATCAGTGGTTGGGTTTATTACTCATTGCATTTATTACTTGTTGCAATGAGGGAGAATGCATACCATGGAGAACCATGGGGCATCTCAGTAAGTGGCTATTAGAAAGGGACTCATAGGATTCAAGCTTGTGTTTGATGATTTCGGGGAGTGTTTAAAGAAGAGCCCTGGCCGGTGTGGCTCAATTGGTTGGAGCATCATCCCATGCACCAAAAGGTTGTGGGTTCCCTTCCTGGTCAGGGCTCATTCTTGGGTTGTCAGTTTGATCCCCAGTTTTTGCATGTGTGAGAGGCAGTTGATCAATGTTTCTCTCTCTCTCTCTCCCCCTTCCCCTTCTCTTTCTAAAATCAATAAACATGTCCTGAGGTAAGGATTTAGAAGAAGGAGGACGAGAAGAAAAGGGAGTTTTGCTTTGGGTTGGATGCCGCTAGGAAGGAGGGATAATTCTTACAACTGGATATCATAATATGTAAGTCTCATCTAGAAGGGGGGTAGGCTAGACTGAGGCTAAAGCTGTAATTGGTAAAAACAAAACAAAAGAGCAGTCACCATTCTTAGCCAGAGTAGGGAGATGTTTGGTCATTTTGGGCTTTGGACTATGTTCAGGTTTTTTCTGTTGTTTAGATATAATTATAGAAGGGTCATGTTTTGGCATGGTCAGAGTGGCCTTGTCTGATATTCATGTTCTGTGAAATTGTTTATATTCAACAAGGCCTAGATATGAGTACCAGGCCAACTCCGCACCAAGATAATGTTACTTAGTGGGCACTTTGGGTAACTAGCCAGCCACTCATTCCTCTGTTATCACTAAATATATTTCCCCTTTTCTTGAAGCTTCAGCAAAAATATTAGGCCACTGGGTAAATTCAACCCCCCAAACTGAAATTGTGATTATTTTTATGGAGAGTTTGATGATTCACCATCCTTCCTTTTATAAGTGAGGCTTTCTTTCACAACTTTGCAACTTTTAATGCAGTTTAGCAACATTTGCTGTGCATATAACCACCAAAGTGTTCCTATCCAGGTTGCAAGAACTCTTATGAATAATTTTTTTAAAAAAATCTAACAGCTCTGGTCGGGGTGCTCAGTTGGTTACAGTGTTGTCCCGATACACCAAGGTTATGGGGTTCGATCCCCAGTCAGGGCACATACAAGAATCAACCAATGAATGCATAAATAAGTGGAACAACAAACCTCTCTCTCTAATGATGAGGAGGGCAGGAGTGGGGCCACTGCAGTGCTGGCCGTGTTCTGAATCTTGACCTGGGTGGTAGTTAATGTGACTGCTGTCACTTCGTAGTAATTCATCGAGTAATTCAGTACACTTATGATCAGTTCACATTTCTATATGTTATGCTTTTTAAAAACTGTATTAAAATACATAGCATTATTGTGAAAAAGTCAATTATTGAAGTTGGGTATTGGGTACAGGAGGATTATAACCATTCTCTCTACTTTTCTGCATTTGTAACTTTCTTTCATAAAAAGATGAAATATATGTATACATGTTTGTATGTATGTATGTGTCTGTACATGTATTTATGCATGCATATATATGTATACATAATTATTTGTAAGTGTTTGAGTTTCTCCTTGATCTGCCAGTCTCTTCAAAAGTGAACAAGATTTTCTAGAGACATAGCAACATGACTAGAGCCATGTGCTTCTTTTCTACCATGTTGGATTTGAAAATTAACTTAGCAAAGGTCAGTGAATTGAGATAATATTAATCAATAAAATATGTGTAATATTTAAAACAACCTGAGTAAACATTTTTACATACGTATTAATATCAATATATTGAATATGTATACTATTGATATAAATATATTGAGAAAATTCAGACAATATGACATTGTCTTTTACTACAGGCCAAATCTTATTAAAATGAACTTTAGCAAGATTATAATTTTTTCCCCCTGAGAGTGTTTTGAATGTGCTAGAAATAAATGAGATTTGATGTCATTCACGAATTGTGTTTGAGAGAAAGAGTACATCATTCTATACATTTTGCTTTGTAATCCTGGCTAATGATTGATTTGGAACTGCTGAGTATTGCTAGGCATGTTTCGCTAAAATAAATGTTGGTCAAAGTTGATAGAAAAGCATCTATAAAAAGAAACGAAGACAAGGGGTGCACGAAACAGGACACGATTGCACAACAAATGATATGAGGCCCGTCACCGTGATCACTCTTAAGTAGCTATTGAGTGAGCCAAAATATAGAAGTTCCCCCAGAAGAAAAATACTTGGGTAATTTTGGGGTAGAATGTTTATTGAAAATAAAATTTGGACTGAGGGATTTGAGGAGCATGGATTGAAGGTAAACTGTATAAAAATAATTCCGTGGTTCTGTTTTTCTTGAGAGCTAACTTTAGAACATAATACCCATGTGAAATGAATTTAGCTCCTGTATTTTGTTAAACCACCACAACTACCAATAAATACATGTTTAAACGTTTTAGAAAACTGATATAAAATAGAAAAAGCCTGTAGACAAACAGAAACACTTTACACACAGAGTGAAATGGTTTGAATGACCAGGCATCTGCCCAGGGACTTTCCTTCTACCCCTGAGAGGTTCTTAACTTCATTGAGAATAGAATTTACCATATAGAGTAGAAGGCAGAAGTCCATGCATACTCAACTTTGAAAGCTACTTTAATGGTACTTTTGACCACATGCAATTTTGCCAAATGTGCTGATTTTAGAAACTAATACCCAATTCAGCCACACTCCACTGAAGGTGTGACTCTTAGCTAGAGTTGCCAGATAAGACACAGGATACCCAGTTACATGTACATTGCAGAGAAATAATGACTATTTTTCTAATATACATATGGCCCATGTCTATTTGGGGCATAATTATTTAAACATCATTTGTTACTTATTTTTATTTGCTAAACCTGGCAACCTTAACACTGGAAGATTTTTGGTTTACAAGGATGCAAACAAAGACTCAAAAGGTACCTGCACAATTAAGGTTCATTAAAATAAAACTCTGGGTGGGGGGAAAACATTTGCAATAAAATGAAGTTATTATAGAAAAATAAGAAAAAGATGAGCTACCCTATATAAAAATGCATAAAGGACATGAAGAGACAATTCACGCATACACAAAAAGATGTACAGATGGCAAATAGCAGTTATATAAATATTCAGCCTTATTTGTAATGAAAGAATGCATATATTTTTTTAAAAAAACAATGACATACTTTTTTATAAATCTACCAACGAAGCAAGGTTGAAAAGCAATAATAGTGTTTGATGTTATTTTATACTCTGACTAGAGGCCTGGTGCACGAAATTCCTGCAAGGGGTGAGGGTCCCTCAGCCTGGCCTGCACCCTCTTGCACTCCGGGACCAGTGGCTCCTAACCACTCGCCTGCCTGCCTGCCTGATCGCCCCTAACCACTCTACCTGCCTGCCTGAGTGCCCCTAACTGCCTCTGCCCAGCCCCTGCCACTGCAGCTTTGTCTGGGAAGATGTCTGGAATGATATCCGGAAGGTCGTTTGGCTGTCCGGTCTAATTAGCATATTACACTTTTATTATTATAGATGATGAGAGTTAAAAAGTCTGAAGGGCGATTTGGCATTATGTACTTTGTTCAAAATCCTTTTAAATGTATATAATCTGAAAGAACAATTACACTTCTCGGGATCTTTCTTAAGGGAATATTTGGAATGTATAAAAAAGATTAGCTCTGAGTATGTTTACCAGTGTAATATATATTTTTTAAATATATTTTTATTGATTTCAGAGAGGAAGGGAGAGGGAGAGAGAGATAGAAACATCAGTGATGAGAGAGAATCATTGATTGGCTGCCTCCTGCAGGGGATGGAGCCCACAACCTGGGTATGTGCCCTGACCAGGAGTCAAACCATGACCTCCTGGTTCATCAGTCAATGCTCAACCACTGAACCACACCAGTCAGGCATTTCCCCCCACTTTCTAAGTTTTTCTAGCAGAGACAGGTTAACAGGAGAAATTCAAATTTCATGTGCATAGGGAATTCACATAAGCATGAAAATTTCAAAGACAGTGAGACAACATTGGGTATATATGACATTTTGGACAAAGGAGACAAGGGGAGGTGGATATTAGATTTCAGAAGTGAGAATGGGCGATTTACAGGTAGTTGAGGAAGAACTGAACACACATGGCAGGCAAATTCTTGCTAGGCAACTCAGAAACAGTGGGTGTCTAGCTAAAGTTCCCTGTCTGAAGCCCTCTTATGTACTGTAGTTAATTCAAATTAGGCTAAAGCAAACATCCTTAAACTCCCTTTCTGAAGCAGGTTCTTTTCTCTGAATCTCTTGGGTAGG